GAGATGCTGCCGTTGCCACCGTGTTGGGTTCTGGTGGGGTCAAGGGAGAGGTAGGTTGCGTTAGGAGGGGCGAGAAGAGGAGGCAGAAACTACACGACAATTTTAGTTCGATAGATCCCGAAGTTTAGCCTCGGCGGCGCTGCTTTACTTGCCGCTGACTTCTTCCCGGTAGTTTGTTCGCTACCCTCTCTCCCGCTGCTATTCGCTTCTCCACCTCTTTCTTGGACACGACCGCACACTCTGACGTCTCCCCACCACCGCCGTAATTCCCACTCTCTTTCTTTCTCTTTCTACCTCTTCTCCTTCATCGTGGCCGATCGTCAACTACTTCGTACCCCTTGCTCGTACACCTCTACCCCTACTTCCTCGAGATCCTCCGTGCTCTCCGCACACAACGCGACACTTGACTACGCGTAACCTTTCTCTCTCTCTCTTTCTCCCTCTTTCTCTCTTTCTCTCTGTCTCTCTTTCGCTCGTCTTCGACTTACGATTTTCCTTTTTCACTCTAATCTACCGTTGCGACGTCTTTCTCGCTCCACGCTTATACAATGGAACGCACGATCACCGTACGACGAACGTATTACACGAGCACGTTTACGCGGCATAAACGCGAACCGGCTGTTTAACGCGCCGACGATGCGTACATGTCCCATCGCGCGTATCGTCGATGATTGTTATCATCGATGCGAAGGAAAAAAAAAAGAAAAAAACACGTCGACGAACGATGGACTCCGATTCTTCTTTTCCTTTTGCGAAATTCCTTCCACGCAGCTTCGATCGAATTTGAAAATTGATCCGCGTCGCGACTATCCTCTAGTCGAATCGAGCGGCAAATCGACTGACCGTGGTGTACGCGATTGCGGCAACGTGCCGACGATCACTAACAATATACAAGTTAACAACGGCTCGCGCGACGGATACGATGACGACAACGACGACTTCGGCCGTGGCGTCGTGAAAGTGTGTTTTGCGCAGTTCTTTCAAGGGAACTCGCCTCCTCGCGCTTACTTGTCGCCCTCCTGG